ATATATTTTAAAGGTAAAAATAACTCTTAAGATCTTATGTGGAAAAATTAAGATATCAAATGAAATGGCTTTTAGTTACGGCGTTTGTAAGTTTCTTATGTAGCTTCTCCAAATATTTTAAAAGCATTCTAAAATTAGGAATGGAATGTTCTATGTGAACAACAAAAGAATTCGTTGAAACTGAAAACATTTAAGGGAGACATTTCTTATGAAAGTTGAAGGGAGTGAGTGCTGTAGAGAAATGGTTTAGATTTCTATAATGAAAATAGCCGAAGACTAGAAGAAGCTGTAGAGAACTGGGAAATTTCTTTTTATTTATCGGAAGTGAAATTTAATTCCCAAAATTTAAAATGTTCTGATACTGAAAAGTACCATATTGAAATCACCTTGCAAAAAAAAAAAAATAAGTAAATAAAAAAAGGAGAGAGAGAGAGAAAACAATTCTAGTTGTGGTATTGGTATGTTAGAAGAGAAAATCCGTAATTTTAGGAGAAAAAAAGAACAACTCAGTGGCAGTATTGGCTTGTTAAAAGAAAAAATATTGCTCTAATTTTAGGGTAAAAAAACAACTTAAAAGAAAAAGAAAAACTTAGTTGCAGTATTGGCCTGTTAGAATAGAAAACACTGCAATTTTTGAAGAAAAAAAAGAGCAACTTAAACTAAAAAAATAAAAACTGAGTGGCAATATTGGCGATTAGAAGAAAGAGCATTGCCCTAATTTTAGGGTAAAAAAGAACAACTTAAGAGATAAAAGAACTTAATGGCAGTATTAGCTTGTTAGATGAAAAGACGTTGCAGGAATTTTAGGGTAAAAAAAGAACAACTTAAAAGAAAAAATTAGTTGCAGTATTGGCATGTTCGAAGAGAGAGTACTGTAATTTTCTGATAAAAAAGGGACAACTTATAAGAAAAAGATAACAACTTAGTGGTAATATTGGCATGTTAGAAGAGAGATGAATGAAATTTTAGGGAGAGAAAGAATATCTAAAAAGAAAAAAAAAGAATAACTTAACTGTAGCATTGGCATATTAGAAGAGAAAACATTGCTATATTTTCAAAGAAAAAAAATCATTTTTCAGTCATATTTTCAATGATTTGCTAGTATAATCTGAGTAGGAGTCATCGTCACTTTCAAAAATTTTTATTAACTTCCATACGAGGAAAAATGAAGGTTTCATATCAGAAAGAAAAGCAATTTTTTCTGATAAAAATATTTTTTTATATCTGAAAAAACTCAGTTTTGTATCAGGTTAAAAGAAAGTTTAAAAACCCACTTTTTTAGCAGGTAGACATAAATATCATGATAAATAAAATATCTCTTTTGAGATTCAACTTTTTTTCAACAAGATAAGACAGACAAAAGCCCAATAATAATTATTTTGTTTTTAATTTTAAGAAATAACCCAGAAAAATATCGACATTTTTCTAAGGTTAAAATTGCAATTTATTATAAATTTTAATGGAAAATAAGGAACTAATCGTTTAATATATCAAATGACATTAATAAGAAATGTATATGCAAGTTTTACAAATAAAATTGAAGCAATATTTATTCAAGAAAAACTGGTGTGAAAGTTTTATCCAACAAATTTGTGTTTTTTAATTCAAATAAATTTAATAAAGCTGGCATCATTAAAAATAACTGAAAGCACATATGAGCATGTGATTGCTGAAAGAAGAAACTATCTTAATTTTTTTTGAAACTTTATGGTCAGACAGTTTCCTTTTCAAACAAAACAATTTTTCCCAATATGTAGTATTTGTACACACGTGCATGTGTATTTTTTGTACACAGACTATATCTGTACAATTAAATGAAAAATATTAAATAACAACTTGTCATTTTTTTGCATAAAAATAAAATTTATGAGATTTAAAGGGAGAAAGGAAAAAATTATATCCAATATTTTTTTCTTATCAAAACATAAAGGAATTCTATTATTATTATTATTATCATGGGTGATGTTCCCTCATTTTTTTCTCAAAACACCCCTTATTTTTCCTTTTTTCATATTTTACGAGTCATTATCGCTTTAGGGGAAGAACAGGATTTTATATGAAATTTATTGCAAAGAAAAAGAAAGATTGATGGAAAAGCCACACGATTTTACGACGAAATTATGTGAATCAGAAGAGGCAAAAAGGCGTTACTCAAATGCATGTTTCTATATTCACTAATAATGTATTCATATGATATATTTTTAAAAATAACGGGGTTTAAGAGAAAACATGTAAAAATCAATTGCAATAACTGCAGAAAAATCGATACATAAAACAATAGAATCATTGTACCAATTAGTGAATATTCAAAGGCCCGATTCGAATTATCCACTATCGTAATATTGTCATTAAAATATATCGGAATTAAAAAAAAAATCATGTGAAAATCATCAGTAATAACAGCAGAAAAAAAGGAACGGAATATCAAGTCGAGTGCGTCAAAAACTGATTACCCAAGTGTGCGATTCGATATTACGTACCATGAAAAATTCGAATTTTAAACTCCAATAACTGCTTAAAATTCGATTGATAAAATTGTTGTATCATTATCTCAAGTTAAAAAGTGGCTAATCAAATGCGTGACTAAAATTCCATGTGTCGTAAAAATATTGTAAGAACAATAAAGTGATTTTAAAAAACCTTGGAAAATGCAACTGCCGATGAAACGATCGAAACACTGAGTTTTAATATGACTGTATCGGCTCAAATAGAGGCGTTGAAATGTAATTACTCAATTGGAAGTTTGCATGTCGTAATAATATTGAAGTTTTTAAAGCAATAGGAAAATCAATGATAACAATTGCCATAAAATTATTGAATCTTCACATGGAATCGATAGGGTTAAGTGATTACTCAAATACATGAATCAAAATTTCCACGAATAAAAAAAGGGGGGAAATGTACCGAATGGATTTAATAATTTCTTTGCTAAGTAAATTTTAATTCAAGCAAAATAGTCACTCCTTGATGGCGCACACTATCTTTCATCGATTACAATTTAGCTTTATCGCCCCATTATTTATAAGTGTAGAAAAAATGGGAGCATCTCGTTAACGGGATTCTGCGAAACGTTCGAAATAAAAATTTTAGAAAAATTGAACTCCCGAAAATTTTGCCAGAGTACAAATTTTTCATTCGCAATGTCAGCGAATCAATGTTCTCTATATTCTAGAAGAAGGGAAAAAATAACATGCAACCCAAAAATTGTAAAAAGGAAGTAGATTGTGGACATGGGAAACTTGACATCGTGACACGACGTGAAAAGAAAGATGAAATGATGTCATGAAAAACAAATATTTTTCGAAATTTCTCAAAGGAAGTTGAATTTGTGTTTTGGCCCAAAAAATGACCAAAATAATACATTTTTATTAGTTCGTGTCAGTCTTTTTAATTTGGTGCAACTTGGCTCAATTAGCATAGATGTGAGATCCCTGTAGCCTGAGATCTTATGACTAACACTGCAGCCTGACAATAAAATAACATAAACAATGTTTACAAACTCAAATATTCTAATAATTACAAATTCATTTTGGTACATGTGATTTGGTCATTTACTATGTCTTGAGAAAAGTTTTCAAAAATTCACTTTCCAACAGGAATTTGATCCAGCAACAAGAGATAGCTGCATTTAAAAATGATATAAAGCACATTTTTGCCTTTTTTACCAGCCTTGAATCAAATAAATGTTTCCATTTTGTTCATCTCAGAAACACGTGTTTGTTTTTAGTTTACCTCGGAAACCAACATTACACTTTTATTCATAAAATCTCATGAATATTGCTGTTCGTTTTTTCTAGCTTTGTTTGTAAAAGAGTTATTTATTGAGTACGTGCTTCTAATTTTTCTGAATAACAGGAAACATATATCAGGATATTGTTGACGTATCTTTTATGTTCTCGTACGGGACGTGCAAGTTCACCCATGTTTTACCCGCAAATTTTTGAACAACAATGATTAATCTCCTGACTATAGAATTGAAGCTTCCCAGGCGCACTTCCAAACAACAGTGTTTATGATATTATAAGGATATGGTGCATATGATATGATGAGCTAGCAAATACGAATGAAACAAAATGCTTTTCCGAGGAGTGCTTTTGAAACTGCTTAAAATAGTCTCAGAACATTAAAAAATGTGCCGTTTTTCTTGAATTTCTTAAGTTTAAAAGAGAGAGAGAGAAAGAGGAACCTCCTTTTTCTAACTAATAACTAAGTTGATAATGCCTCTCCTGTTTAGGTTTAAGCACCTAACACGCAGAGGAGAGTACCAGTTTGGATTTTGGGCTAAAAAGTTTGGAGATCATTTTTCTAGATAAAGAAACCTTAAAAAAAGGAACTAGTACGTTTTACTAGTTCCTTTCGTTTTTACTAGTTAAAGGAACCAGTTTAAAGGAACTAGTACATTAGTGCCTAGTGTACGTTAGCGTTAGTACTTAGTAGTAAATGGATCGCTACTTTTTGAACATCCGACATAATAACGCAAAACAGCAAAATGTCGCTCTTGACTAATAAGATTTTTGTTTTATTAGGACTTTCCGAAAGAAGAAGAGAGAATAAAAGGCCATTTTTGTAGCTATTTTCCTGTCCGCTTTCTTCTTAACAAATATATTATATAGGATGCCTGAATTGACGAAAAATGTTAACACACAGGTGGGCATTGGAAAAAAAAATTATTATATAGAGAAACGTAGATGCGTAAAACACTACACATTCTTTATTTAGTTCAAAATGGTTCTGATTTTCGCATTAAATTTTTGCTACACTTTTCTCAAAACAAAGAACAATTCTATTCAAATTTCGCTGTAATTTAGAGACAACTCCTTTTCGGAAAACCAATAATATGTGTCAAATCCCGTATTAGAAATTTTCTATTTTTAGAACCCTCACCCCTTTTCTATATTTTTCTTTTTATGTGGGGGTGGTCGGACAACTTCGAACGTCATTCGATGATTCCACAGGTTGCGCCGCGCCGCTCTTTAGAAGTGCTCTATAAAAGCTTTTCGGGTCGTTCTCACTTTCTTCTCTTGCCTCTCCCTCAAACGACAGCCTTCGCTGCTGCTCCACCCTCTTCACGGAAACCGGAAAACTCCCGAAAAGAAAGTTTTTTCTTCTTTTGGAACAAGAGTTTTCCACTATTTTTTGAAAAAAGAATATTGCTCATTTATTATTGACTATTGCTACTTAGGAAAAATTTGTTGCTACAGATTTTAATTTTTCGGAACCGGCTGAATTTATAGTTCAGAATTTTTTTCCTGTTTGTTTTTCTCTGAGAAAAAGTGCTCGAACAATAAAAATGCTGTTTATTACTGTGGTTTTGTGCCTGATGGTCACAGTGCTTGCAACGCCCATTTCACAGGTAAAAATTTGTTGTTAAATATACTTATATATATTGATATAAACTAGTTTAAAATATTTTTTTGTTAATTCTTTTTTTTCTAAAATGATGTTAGAATTTGATTGGGTGTTTCTGCTTCTGTTTTACTTTAAAAATCATGATAAATTTGTTAGAAGTAAATTAAAATTGATAATAAACGGTTAATTTCATGCAAATTATTAATTCTTTAAACATGTTCAAATTAGGTTAATTGAATGGTTGAAGATAAAATTAATATCAATTAAAGTTTATTTGTCTTGCTATTTCTTATTTTTTTTTATTTCTGTCATTTAAATCTTTACTTTCAAATAAACAGAACAAATTGTTATGAGCATTCCTGAAAAATAAGTTTATGTAAAAGAGTTTAATCCCTTTGCTAGATTGCCACAAAATAACTCTTCGGATAACTTAAAAACAGAAACAAGAACATTTAACTTGTGTTTTATTCTAAAATAAACGATTTTTTCCCAAAATAGTGTTAATAAGAAACAGCTAGTTATTTTCATTCTCGAGAAAATCGGGTTTAAAGATTTAAAACTATTAATTGTCTAGATTTTACACGGGGAAACTAATAATGGTAAACTTACCGTACGTATGGCAAAGACATTTCTGGTAAAAGAAAACCATAATTCTGGTTAATAAAACCAAAACACACGGTAGTTAAACCATTCATTTGGCAATTTTTCTGCTCTCTTAGTAAAGGTTTCTAAAATTATAGTTCTTATTATTTCTGGTAAAAAACCCCATAATTATGGATAATAAAACCAAAATATACTGTGTTTAAGCAATTTATTTGACAATTTTTCCTTTCATATAGTACTGATTTTCAAAAGTAAATTTTTTAAAACCACACATTTAGTAAAAAATTCAAAACTGGAAAGTAGATTTAACCAAATAAATGGTTTTTATGCCATACTCTAATATATCCTGATAAAATTATTAATATTTACCACATTTACCAAATTTTATTACATTCTATTAAACTACATTTTATTGATAATTTTATCAAAATCATTACCAAAGGGCTTCGGTAAAAAATATCGAGCTTTTTGTTGCTCCCATAGAGCCAGCAACATGATCCATATTCTGGTAGTTTCGACCATAACTTTTCTCAGCGCATGAAAAAAATAATCAAATGTTTCTGCTACTTCTCCTTGTTCATCATGAACATGTGGGGAAAAAAAACATAAAAGTATTGCAGAAAAGCAATCATGTCTCTTTAGATTTCCTCTCAGCATCTTCGAAAATTCGATGTTTTTTAAAGAAAAAAATTAAGCTTCCTTTAAAAATAATTTTTAAAAACAGCGTTAGAAAAATTTTATGCATCAATGTGGAGAATGTTGTTGGTATGATAACGCAAAAACAAACTGCTGGTATCTCTGATATCATAAAAACAAATTTAAAATTGCATGAATTGGTTTTTAGACTTCGACGAGACGTGGTTGTAAAATATGGTTTTCTGGAAACAGAGAGTGGGGCTTAAAGGTCCACATGTGATACATGTTACTCCTCATTGACCGCTAAAAACTTAAATTCCGCCAAAAATTTGAATATAGATATGTATTTTATAACAACTTACTTTGCATATTTATCTCATCAAGAAAAATATTCAAAAATGTAGCAGCCATTTTTAATAAAGGTGAATGAAATATCCCCCCTTTTTACAACTTTTGCTTAAAAGGGGCGTTCAGTAAGCCAAATTAAGTTTCTCTTGATAGAAATTAGGAAAATAGTCATACAAACACAATATATTACCTAAAACTACAATTTTTAACTTAAAAACGGGGAAACAATTAATTAATTCTGAAGTCGCAGAGGTTAAATAGAAACAAAATTTTTCTCTTTAATCGTAAACGTTATTATTTGCATTTTAAAGGACTAAATTTAAGCAATTACATCATGAAATTAGAATAAAAATTCGATTGTTTTGAGAAATAAATTCCAAGGTACCTGCATAATGTTGCTTTTTACAAGTATATTTCATAACAACTTATTTCAGAGAGTAACCGTTTAAAACTGAATTTTTAAGGTACTACCTTAAATAGGATATTTTCAACTAATAATTGCTCATTAGGCGAAATTCTGCAATATTTTAAATTTTTTGTTTGCCTAAAATTACAATTTTCACAATTTTCGAAAGACGAATCGACAAAATAAGAAATGGGCAAAATATTTGACATGCCTTATTTCATAAGAAAAACACTAGCTGTGTATAAAATAATATTCCGATTGATTTGGGGGTGTCATTTCGACTACCTTCCTTATAAAACTTTTAAACATCGTTACATAAAATGCAATTATTACGATATCTAATTAAAGCTATTGCATTTTGAAACACCCATGGATATGGGGTGAGATACTTTAATAATGTATTCAAAAACGGCTCTAAGTATATCGAGATTCCTACATTAGAAAAAATTCCAAATCAAATTACAGTGAAAGTACTGGTACCATCAGTGCAGCATCTATAAAATCTATTTCACCGTAAAATCCATTTCGACTGTAAATTTGTATCGTAATTTTTACATTAATATTTATTTAATTACACTGAAGCAGGGATTTTATAGCAAATATTACTGCAAAAATTACGCTACATCAGATAGTTTGTTCCGTAAGATTTAATGGTAAAAAGGTATTTACCCTAAGGGCCGGTACTTTTTACCGTAATTTGATCCGGAAATTTTTGAAGTGTAGTTTTCGAAATCAGCTGGAACGAAAAGTGATTCTTCTGATGGTCCTATTCAGGCAGTAAACTATTATTCTAATCAACGAATAAATGTGTGTGTGTGCGTGTGATCTTGAAGTGATAATCTCGGTGTGGTTAAAATCCTAGTTCAGATTCAATCGAGTAAATGTAGAGAGTGCAAAAAAAAAAAAAAAAAAAAAAAAAAAAAAAAAAAAAAAAAAAAAAANAAAAAAAATGGAGGACCACCCGGAATAACTTTAATCTAATGATCGGATCTTCATGTTTTGATCTCAATCTTAATGGTTTGAATGGATGACCTCAAATGTGCTACTTAATTAGTGCAGAAGATATTTTAAGTTACGAAATCAGACACAAAAACGTTCTTTCTCTGAATAAACATATTTTGCGACGGATTCAGATTTTTGAGCCCCCAAACATAGGGGGTAGCCGCAATCTGAAAAATATGGTCCCAACAGTTTGGTTAGGAGAAATGTCCAAAGTTTAAACCACTTAATGTCAATTTTACTCTTTGGGTATTTCACCAAATTTCGAGAACTTTTCAACTGAATTGAAAATTTTTTGCATACAATTATAAAATGTATTTATCCAAAGATAATTTAATGCAAAAAATAACTTTCAATGAATATTTATGATTCTTATTATTTTTTTTTAATATTAGTTATTTAGTATTGAAATTTTTTGAATTGTAAGGCATACAGTTTTTTACATAGTCTTAAAGAATATAATTTTGCACGAAAAAATACAAAATTAATCGGTAAAATAACCGGTAAAATCGGTAAAATAATTGCTGAGAAGTTGAATTTTTAAAATCCGACTTTTTTGAAATTCAATTTCTCAAGAACAATCAAATTCCGCATTAGAATTCAGGAAATTTTTAAATTTGCTTAAAAAATTATTAAGATATGAAGAAATACGCATAAAGTAAAATTTGCTTTAAGGGGTCCAAGCTTTAATCAGCCCTCTTGTCAAACTATTGGGAGCTTAGTTTTCAGATTGCAGCTATTCCCTATATTTTGGGAGTCAGAAATCTGAATAAGTCGAAATCAGAAATTCGAATAATTCGAAAAAAAAGGTATGTTTATTCAGAGAGAGTATGTTTTGAGTCTGATATAGTAACTTAAAATACCGTTTGCATTAATTAATTAGCATATTTGAGGTCACCCGTTCGAACCATTAAGGTTGAGTCCTAGAACGTGAAGATTCAATCATTAGATGAAAAGTTATTAAGGGTGAGCGGTTTTTAATTTTGCGCACTGTACACTGTTAAATTGCCGTCAAAAGTTCTGGCATGTTGAGTGTAGCAACAGTAAAATCCATTTTCTTGTAAAATCTATTTTTACCGCAAAATTTTATACCACAATTTTCACAGTAATATTTATTTAGTTGCGGTGATGCAGTGATTTCACTGTAAATATCACTCTAAAAATTACTGTACATAAAATTTTTAATTCCGAAAATTTTTATGATAAAAAGTACTGGCACTCCGAATTTTGGTACTTTTCACCGTCAATTGATCCGGAATTCTTTAGTGTTGGAAATGGCAACTTGTAAAAAAATATGCAAAAGTAAGACTTTTATTGATCAAAGAAAAATCTTGTTTAAGGTCAATAAACTGATTCATTACTTAACTATATCATTTAAATTTCTGGCACATTAACTTAAACTACATGAATGGTTATTATAAATCTATAGTTTTTGCTGTAGTGATCTACCACGTTACTATTAAATTTTCTTATGTTAGTAACAATGGAATTAAAACTTACCACTTTCCGGTTATCTGGAGAGCTGAAATCTCTATTTGAGTTTCTCTGAACATTTTAAGCTGAATTTATCGTCAATCGATATAATTATCATTTGAGAACTACCTAGAGTACAATGCTATGTCCTAGAAGACAATAGAATTTTTGCTCCATTCCCGACCGTAACAAAAAGAATTTATAGCACTAAAGTGAATTTAACGCCAATCAAAATTTCGACTATTTAAAGAACTAACGAACTAGAGAACTATATTTTAACAGCAGCACTGTTTTTTGATAAAATCACAAGTTACAATTGTTTTCTGATCTCTACAAGCAGCATTTACTGTTATATAATCGCCAATTAAATTGGAGTTATTCTTATAATAACGAAAAAAATATCCAAAATGTTCACATAGAGTTCTATTTCTGGTATAAATATAAGTTCCAATCGCTTTAGACCGTTAGAAAGATAATTAATTGACATATTATATCACCAATTAAAATTTTGCAGTAAACGAAATTCTGACTCCGCCCTG